ATATTATCTATATATCTTAGTGTTATGGATTTTTTTTTGGTGGAAAACCTGTCCATTTCAGTCTTATGGGTGTTTCCATGGATTTTGACTTGTTCTGCAGCACTGTATTTCTAAGCTGTTCAACAGGTGACAGTGTAACCCCTCTATATGTAGATGGAGGTATTAATTATCCAAACAGCAACAATTTGTCCAGCATTTTCTTCTGTCACGTGAAGATTGATTAGTAAGGCTGATAATGGTTTAACAACAGATGTTGGTTCATGGATAGCAGTACGCCTTTTCCAATACAAGCTGGAAAGATGTCAGAAGATCGACTTTCTTGAAATTCATGGTTAAAGAAAAGGGAATTATAACACACCCAATGATTACATGCTTCTTTCTGGTTAATGACCAGGCCATGTGTTTACACAGTTTTCAGTCAAAGCGATCCTGTAGGAACAAAATTATTCGCTGCTCTTACGAATGAGGATCACCACCACAGAGGACACCCTAGTCTTCCTGGACATGAGTTGTAGGCTATTTTTGGGAATAAGTGCTCTGAGTTACCGCCTGGAAGACCTGCTTTCTCAGTGTAGTAAGACCGTAAGGAGACTTGCCTTGCCTCAAGGTCGTTCTTGCAAACACCCCCTCTCTCCTCGTCGCTGGACACTGTCAATAGCACATTTGAAAGCCAGGTAGCCATACATTAACAGCATGACTGATTGTAACCTGGCCAGCATTTGGGGAGAATCTTCATAGCAAGCAGATAAGTAAATGCCTCTTAAATAACAGGGATACCTAAAGAACATATTGGGTATCACCACAAAAATTTGCCCAGGCTTCTACCTGAGGTAGACTTTCCCAGGGAAACATTGGTTTATTTAGGAGCCCTGAAATGGGAAAATTTGTTTCCTTTTTTGCCACTAAGGAATCAGAATCTTTTCAGACAACTATGGACAACTAATATCAGTTTTGCAGTAAATCTAGAATATACAATCAGTGAAATTGCTAATGATCTCTTTTATAATTTACATATTAATTATTTACGTGGGTAAAAGGTCAAGGGATCTCAGAAATATTGACGGGATATTTGTTGATGCGAATGACAGAATACCAGTTTTGGGAATGTATCTCGACTGCACAATCAATCACCTAGCTTAATTGACTTTGCAACAGAATATTAGACATGAAAGACAGATAAAAAACCTTATACAAGAGAAGTATAATGTGATTTTTTGGAAACCTTAACAGTTTAGAAGAAGGTACATGTCTCACAATGAAGTCATTTTAATTTACCTTTTCACTATGGTACTACTTTGACAGACTTCTTACTTGATTTACAGTGAGTTCAGAATTGAATTGCTAAACTTTATGAAGCACAGGAATTTGTATCAAAGGAACTTTGTGAATTGAGCTAAAGGGATATCATATAAAAGAGTTATATTAACTTCACCACTGGAAGTCCCATACTTCTTCCTGATTGCAGAGACCTCCTCTGATGCTTCTCATAGCTGACATCCTTAGAGACTGAACACCTATATTTTGTATATGATTTATTATCATATCTTAATTCAGATTACTTGAAAAGGACTGAATTTTATTGTCCCCCCAAAGAGTAACTGTTCACACAAATTCATTTTATCCCAAACCACTTTAGCTGCCTTCTCGTATTCTAGTCTCCCCACAGTGAATCTGAATCACCCATGTGAGAGTTCTACTTTATTCTGAAGTTCGTAGGAATACACTTTGCTGATTGTCAGGATCATTAGCTAACTGTTAGATACCTGAATGTTTTTTAAAATTATACTGGGGACTCAGCAAACAACTACAATGAATCACTTCATAATGCACTAATGTATGGGTTTTTTTTCATGAACTAAGTAACAAGAGATGCTATTTTCCACACAGCACATGTTAACCATGCATTCTGTTTGATGAAAATTTGTGGTGTTATTCACTTCACTGCATCCTTAACAAAGGTCATCTTTTTGACATTCAATGGAAGGAGAAGCATGGTGTGCTGCCCGTTGATTAAGTGACTGGTCCCATGATGGAGCGTGCTTAAGAATGTTAAGCTACATAAGGATGTTTTGACATGACCTCCTCCATATGACTGGACATCAATGGCACACAGAAGTGGTCTGCTTGTACCCTCACTTACAGCAGTCACAGGGATGAAGGTACAACTTCTTGTCTTTCTGCTCAAATGACTTTTGCTTCACTTAACAGATGGCAGACACATATAAAATGCATGCAAGTACAAGGAACGGAGTTGGGAACCACAAGGTCCTGCAGTCACGATTTATCGCAGGTACAAATTTTAAGCTGGTGTAACTCTTGAGTTAAAGCTAGACATAATCTTTCCTGCTCTCCTGGTCTTGAGACTCTTGAACTCCTGGCTATATCGTTTAAAGGCTGGCAATGACTATCCTTTGCCATCACGATTACACTATGAACTCAGTGCCCTGTCTTGACTGAGTGCTCTAATGATATGACCATTAAAACAAAAAAAAGTCAGCATGGCTGTTGCTGGCAGTCAGCTCCACTAGACGGCCATCCCCAGAATCAGGGCTGGATGGAACAGATCCCAAACGAGTGGATAATATCCAATATTTCCATGTTCCTAGTGGAAGAGGTAGACACATGATTTAACTAGATTAAGTTAGTGGGACTGCCTATGTTACCTACATAATTAACTGAGAGAGAGAGTGGGGCCAAAGTTAATGAAATTGAATATCCATATTCAGGTCTTTGGAGACACTTTCCATTGAGTATATAAGGGACATAATGAACATAAGTAGTTATTTGAGCTGGACTGTATTGGTTCCTGACACTTCAAATTATAGATAAGTATCTAAATGGAGCACTTAATTAAGGTAGACTGGATTCAGCACTTATTCATTCTGATTTGAATGAGTGGATTTATCTTTTACGTGCAAATGGAAGTGGATTCTTGACTGTTTGAGTTTTTAACCTTCTAACTGGGTAACAGTTGGCTTCCAAATGCATCAATGAGATTTTAAGAATGATGCTGTGCTTTATTGCACAAAATAAACCACAAATTTGGCACATGAGTTTCTTCTTAGGCAAGCAGTTGTTCTAAATGACTTTTACATATCAAAAAACCCCACAGCTTCTATTTAAGTGACAAATAGATAATACAGATTATGTTTATAGGTTAGAACATGATCTGATCAGATTCCACTTGCAGAGGAATGTGCTTAGCTTTTATTAATTGGTTTTGATCACACAGAACTTCTGATGACATTAATTGGAGAAACATGGACCTGTAATTTTCAGTATAAGCATAAAAAATGCAATATCTATTTACTTAAAATTTTTGGTTGGTGAAGAGCAGATCTTACTATATAAAGAAAGATACAGAAGACATATTTATTCACAAATTTCTTTTCCATTATTCTTTCCACTTTTGTCTAGCATTAATCAAACCACACCCCCAAACAACTCAAAGACAAGAAGAGGTCCCTACTATCCCAAATATGCTTTTTGATTAAATCCATGTTAAATGTGATCACTTTTCCTAACCATATTCTAGAATATGTATAGCAAATTTTGCACTGTTGTGTTCAGTAAGTTGGAAGTAAGGTCATTTTCTGAAGGTAGTAGTATTAGCTTGCTCATAATATAAAAGCCAAAGACTGATATACTTCAGAAAACCAGATCTGATATTAATCCTCAACATTGCAAGCAATAAGATGGTTCCTATCTATAAATACAATAAAAGTTACCATGTGGAACTTACTGTGCTGGCAGTGAATCCCATTAAATCCCTCTGGGCATTTACAAACATATCCTATGAATGTGTCGCCTCGGTATGCTTCACTAATTTCACATATCCCACCGTTATGACATGGATTAGGAAGGCAGGGTCCTGAGAGAGGGGAAAAAAAGGAGAAAAATATATATACATACTTAATAACAACCATAATAATTTCAGTCATTTATATGCGTTCATTAAAGAAATAAAATCCCCTATGTAGACCTTCATATCCCAGTAACCCACTAAAATATACCCTTCACTTAGTTCAGATAACTTGCCAGCACAGATTTTTATGAACAAGAAAAAATATGAAGCATGTCACTACTCATTAATCACAACATTATTTTTTAATGTGAGAGAAGACAGGAGACAGAGAAGCTAAATTTTGCTCTCCTATTAAAGATAACAGGCATTCTAACTTTTATACCACTGAGGAAATATGTATTAATCAAATGTGCCTATCATGTACAGAGTGACATGTACAATATCCCTGAATAATCACTACATGACAAGTTAGTAGTTTGAGGAGATCTTTGCTATTGCTTTGGATGACTTGGTGACTATCTGGGCCAGCAGTCTGCAGCTACGAAACCAACTATTCCCTTTCCATTGAGTGAATTTTTAGCATATCCAGTTCAAGCTGATTTCAAAAAGGTCTTCTGACTAAATTACCTTTTTTTTTCCCCAACTAACCACATGCTAGGATAACTAAAATTTTAGCAGTGAGATCTAATTTGTTAGGTTTGCAATTACCATACACACCTTTAAATAATAGCATTTTTTGAACTGAGGTCTAAAGTTCATTCATTTAGCAGCATGTGTTGAAAGCCTTTTACGTCTTATAATCTTACTAATACTACCTGTAACATACTTCCTACCAGAAGAAAACACTTTACCATTTTGATTATTTTTTTTCCAATCTCGCTTTAAAGAACCGATAATCATTGATTGAAAAGCCTCATGTGCAAGTTTGTCTGTGAAAAGATTCATGAATCCAACATAAAGTATGTTATTTGCAATCTTTGCCATGTGCACAGAAAGGCGTTAATCTTTGCTTATTGGAATGCAATGTCATAATTATTCACCTACTTAAAATTGCATTTAAAAAAAAAAAAAAAAAAGGCCAGAAAAGAACTTCTTTCCAGAACATAATTTACTGACAATCAGCACTGGGAATTGAATGATTTAAACTTAAAAGAGCTATAAGTTTAATGTTTCTGAGGGTCTACCTATTGGTTTATGTTTTCAATTACAAACCTAAGGTTTGACAGATGTTCACAGCAGCAGCATTAATTCAGAATATCACATTAGTGAAAACTTCACTCTCTAAGAAAATATTAATTTGCAAAAGATAAAAATTAACAGAATGGCAAGGATGTCAGAACTCATTCCCCAGTTATAACTGCCCGGGTGGTTATACCAATTTGAGAAACTATTCATCTACACACTTCTATTGCAACTTATGTCATCAGCCTATTCCAGGACACAATCCTGCAGAAGTTACACTTGTACGCATCATTACACATAGGATATATCTCACTGAACCCAACAAGTAAAAGACATGAACATATAGTAGCTTATTGTAAATGCAATTAGTAGTAAAAAAAAAGGCAAAAATCATGAAGATGAAAAGGAAGAGACTGGGTCTATGCCTTTTCTGCCTTTCCCCATCCATATTCTGCACTACACTTTAAATGTAACGGTACTCTACATTCTTAATTCCAATCAACCTATGTGACTCCTTCAACAAACAGGGCGAAGAAGACTCATAGCTTTTAAGTATCACAGCTTCTGTTCATGTCATTTCTCCTATGTACTCTTTTGGGAAGAAAAATGTTTAATAATTTGCACTTTTGGTGTCCCAATATATATATGAGCTGTGGAATTTTTTTTCAAGTCTCTATTGTAGTGCTGCAGTTTGGGGAGTACCTGCAAGTAGCCTCATATGTTAATTATTTCTCTGCAAGCAGATTTCTAATCTTCCAAGAACAATAAATCTTTTAATGATTACTTTCTCATTTTGCTTGCTGCTTTCTCCATATGGCTTGTTAAGCACATGTTCAGCGTACTTTCATTGATTTTCTTTAGATTTTGCATTTTTTCAGATCAGTCCAAAGTACAAAGGCTTAAAAGGTCATTTGAGGTGCATAGTAATAAATATACTGTGCATGCTAGTATTTCTAACTAATCTTACTCTTCTGCGATGCATTCCTACTGAAAAAAAACCCCACACCAACAATATGAACATTTTTTTTTTTTGCCTGATTATAGTTGTTGTTTGTTCATAGACATATAATAGCAGTATTTTCAATCTAAATGTTGAGTAATTTTGCTTTGGGGTTGTTTTTTTTTTTTTTCTTTTTTTAATAGAAACTGGTAGTTCAAAAACGATTCGGAGAGCAATGAAACATCCTAATTAAATGCACTGAAACTAGTAAACAACAATCATCTTATTTTCACTACTTAACATTCATTTCCTAAAACCGACATGGGTTAGACTCATCTGCATGTTAAAAGAATGAATGATTGAAACTTTAATAAGCCTATAACATCATACCTTGTTTCTCCTAATTCTCCAGAAGACCATACGCTGGGTTCATACATCTTTAGGATATTTGAATCGCATGAACCTTCAAGCATATGATTTTTTTATTTTTTTATTTTTTTTAACAGGATCCCTGATGCAGGTTATGCAGGTTTAACTGTCTTGAAGGATTTGGGCCCTAATCCTGCTATCATTCCATTTAAGTATCAAAAATGGTATGCAAGATCTATGCATTGCCGCCAGATGATGACAGGTCCTGACTAACTTCCATAGGGATTTACAAACTTTTAAATAACATTGTATTGAGCGCCAGATAATTAATTCCTTGACAATCTGATTAATATTCTCAGTTACTCAGATCTATAGAACCAAGTTCAAAAACATGCTTCTTTACAAAAAAAATATAATAATCCAAACTTGTCAACTGATTTTCAAAAAAACAGTGGACTTCAGGGATTTGGTTTTTTAAATCAATAGCACCGTAATACTTTTGCAGGTAATCTTTAAGTGGCTTCCAACACAAAGAGAACAACAACATTTGATCAATATTAATGAGCAGTGGAATTCAATGGTATGCTTTCCAGGCATTTTTATCCATGTTCATATAAAATAATGTCAACAAGATTAATTGTGCACTAAAAGTAATAGATCTATTCACTTTGCTGCTGTTTTGAGTCCTTCTTTGTGCAGTTCCAGTGGTATTAGTCAACATAATAAGTGTAGTCCAAAATATATCATTCTGTTATTCAATTGAAATCCCATGCTGTTTTTGAAAAAATATTGCAAGATAACTTAAAGCATGTTTTAAATTGTTTAGATGCTCTTACTGAAATCTCTGAGATTTTATAGATGGATGAATCAAATGCATCCCCAGCAGACTTGCAAAGGGGCTCAACACAGAACCATGTTATCTGTTTTCTTCTTTGACAAGTACAGTCAACTAAAACTTCATAAAAATAAAATCCTGCATAATGCAATATAGAAGCAGTAATTACATATTTGGAAAAAAATATTAGTTTGTCTACAGCAAGAAAAGTCAGGAAGGCAAGTAAAGCATTGCTTCACCAATAAATGGAGTTTTTGTCAGGGATCATAGAATCATACAGTGGTTTAGGTTGGAAGGCACCTTAAAGATCATCTCATTCCAACCCCCCTGCCATGGGCAGGGACACCTCCAACTAGACCAGGTTCCTCAAAGCCCCGTCCAACCTGGCCTTGAACACCTCCAGGGATGGGGCAGCCACAGCTTCTCTGGACAACCTGGGCCAGGGCCTCACCACCCTCAGAGTGAAAATTTTCTTCCTCATATCTAATCTAAATCTACCTTCTTCCAGCCTGATGCCATTACCCCTCATCCTATCACTACATGTCCTTGTAAAAAGCCATTTTCAGCCTTCTTGTAGATGCCCTTCAGATACTGGAAAGCTGCTATAAGGTCTCCCTGGATCCTTCTCTTCTCCAGGCTGAACAACCCCAACTCTTTCAGCCTGTCTTCATATTAGAGGTGCTCCAGCCCTCAGATCACCTTGATGGCCCTCCTCTGGACCCGCTCCAACAGGTCCATGTCCGTCTTACACTGAGGGCTCCACAGCTAGGTGCAGTCTTGCAGGCGTGGTCTTATGAAAGCAGAGTAGAGGGGCAAAATCACCTCCCTTGCCCTGCTGGCCACACTTCTCTGGATGCAGCCCAGGATGTTGTTGGCCTTTTGGGCTGTGAGTGCACATTGCCAGCTCATGTTCAGGTTCTAATCTACCAACACGCCTGAGTGTTTCTCCTCAGGAACGCCCTTAATCCCTTCTCTGCCCAGTCTACATTTGTGCTTGGGATTGCCCCAACCCATGTGCAGCACCTTGCACTTGGTCTTGTTGAACTTCATGAGGTTCACACAGGCCCACCTCTCCAGCCTGTCAAAGTCCCTCTGGAAGGCATCCCTCCCCTCCAGTGTGTTGACTGCTCCATGCAGTTTGGTATCGTTGGCAAACTTGATGAGGGTGCACTCAATACAACTGTCCATGTCGCCAACAAAGACATTAAACAACACTGATCACAGTACCAACCCCTGAGGAACACCACTCATCACTGGTCTCCACTTGGACATCAAGCTGTTGACAGCACCTCTTTGAGTGTGACCATTCAACCAATTCCTTATCCACCTAGTGGTCCATCTGTCAAATCCATGTCCCCTGATTTAGACACAAGGATGTCATGTGGGACAATGTAAAATGTTTTGCACAAATCTATTCAGATGATGTCAGTTACTCTTCCCTTATCCAGCAATGCTGTAACGCCATCCTAGAAGGCCACCAAATTTGTCAGACACAATTTGCCCTCAGTGAAGCCACATTGGCTGTCACAAATCACCTACTTGTGTCTTAGCATAGTTTCCAGGACAATCTGCTCCGTGATCTTGCCAGGCACAAAGGGGAGACTGACTGGCCTGTAGTTCCCCGGGTCTTCCTTTTTTACCTTTTTAAAAATGGGGGTTATGTTTCCCCTTTTCCAGTCAGGCGGGAACTTCATTGGCCTGCCACAACTTCTCAAATATGATGCATAGTGGCTTCGCAAG